ATCCATCCATCCATCCATCCATCCATCCATCCATCTATCTATCTATCTATCCATCCATCCATCCATCTATCTATCTATCTATCTATCCATCCATCCATCCATCTATCCATCCATCTATCTATCTATCCATCCATCTATCTATCTATCTATCTATCCATCTATCCATCCATCCATCCATCTATCCATCCATCCATCCATCTATCTATCTACCTATCCATCCATCCATCTATCTATCTATCCATCTATCCATCCATCCATCCATCTATCCATCCATCCATCCATCTATCTATCTATCCATCCATCCATCCATCCATCTATCTATCTATCCATCCATCAATCCATCCATCCATCTATCCATCTATCCATCCATCCATCTTCTCCCCTTATCCGTGGTCTGGTCTCGGAGGTATCAGTTCCAGCAGAGAGCCCCAAACGTTCCTTTCCCCTCATCAACCAGCTCTGACTGGGGGGTCCCAAGGCGCTCCCAGGCCAGCGAAGAGATATAATCCCTCCACCTGGTCCTAGGTCTACCCCTCGGTCTCTTCCCAGCTGGACGTGCCTGGAACACCTCCCTAGGGAGGCGCCCAGGTGGCATCCTAACTCGGAGCCCGAACCACCTCAACTGGCTCCTTTCGACGCCAAGGAGGAGCGGTTCAACTCCGAGTCCCTCCCGGATGACCGAACTTCTCCCCTTATCCCTAAGGGAGACGCCAGCCACCCTGCGGAGAAAACCCATCTCGGCCGCTTGTATTATGATAAAGATCAACTTAAACTTGCATAAACTAGAAGAAAACAATGCAGAATATATATATATAAGATATCAAGACCAGAAACAGGGTTACTGTTAAGTAAGTGTGTGTGTGTGTGTGTGTGTGTGTGTGTGTGTGTGTGTGTGTGTGTGTGTGTGTGTGTGTGTGTGTGCGTGTGCGTGTGCGTGTGCGTGTGCGTGTGCGCGTGCGTGTGTGCGTGCGCGTGACTCTCTTCACATCTGTCTTCCTTGTTGACTCATTTCTATCTACATTCTTATTTTCTACTTTCTTGTTTATTCTTTTAATTTGTATTGTACAATGCCTTGTCTTTTTAAGCTGCTGAAACAAAACACATTCCCAAATTGGGATCAATAAAGTACTTCTTATCTTTCTATCTACATTAGCATGACTTCAGCCATGCTTTTATCACATGGCGATACTTGTGTTGTTGTATAATGTTTTTGTTATTGTGATCCCCATCATTTGGGGCTATAATACATTTAATTTGATTTGGTGTCCCTCCCTCCTCCCGTCCTCTGTGTGTTTACTGTGGTGAATTCATTTAAAAATAAAGTGAGTATATTTTTATTTCGTAATACTTTTTCAAAATATTTGTTGATATTTCCAAAGAAGAAACCCCCTAAATAATTTATATATTTAATAATGATAATAATTAGACTCTCATGTGTCTGGTGTCCCTCCGAAGTCTGAGTGAACCAGACATTTTAACTTAATTATTTATTTTCTAAAATCTAATTTAAAAAAAACAACAGCAATCTCTAATTTGTTTTATTTATTTAACAAATGTTATAATTTAAAATGACATTTCTGTTTCCAAATTAAGAGAAATTGGATGTTTTTTGTCCCACATATGAGTATATTTGTATTTCTTAATACTTTAAAAAAATATTCTTTGACATTTCCACAGAAGAATCCCTTTGATTAATTAAGATAAATAATATATATATTTAATAATAATGATAATAGTTAGACTTTTCACGTTTCAATGCGTCATCATCATGTGCACAGCAGCTACAGCGTAGATATGACAAACTGTTAGGCTCCTCCCACAGAGCAACATGAATATAGGACATAGAACAAATACAGATAATCAGATCAAATAATGTAGACTCTCATGTGTCTGGTGTCCCTAATAAACAAAAATCTCTCAGTTTTTTATTTATTTTACTGATTTTATAATAAAGAATTATAAAAAGTGTTTGGTTTTTGTTTTCAAATGAACAGGAAAATTGGATGTTTAAAAAAAAGTTTTAACAAATAAAGTGACTTTATTTGTGTTTCTGACGTCTGTGAACATCACATTTGTTATTGATTGTTTGACATTTCTAAAGAAGAATCCCCCTCGGTTAATTAAGATAAATAACATATATTTATAATGATGATAGTTAGACCGTCATGTGTCTGGTGTCCCTCCGACCTCCCGTCCCCTGTGTGTTTTACTGTGGTGAAATAATTTGAAAGAAAGTGAGAATATTTGTATTTCTTACTACTTTAAAAAAAATATTTGTTGACATTTTAATAGAAGAAACCCCCATGGTTAATTAAGATGAATAATATATATATATTTAATAATAATAATAATAGTTTTTTCAAGTTTCGTGTTTCAAGGCTTTGCTCATTAGCTACAGTGTAAATATGTTAATTAAAAACTTCTTCTTAGTACTTTTTAAAAATATGTTTTTTTACAATTCAATAGAAGAATCCCCCATGGTTAATTTAATAATGCTAATAGTTAGACTCTCATGTGTCTGGTGTCCCGTCCCCTGTGTGTTAAATGTTTACTGTGGTGAAGTAATTTGAAAGAAAATGAGTGTATTTGTATTTCTTAGTACTTTTAAAAAATATGTTTTGACATTTCAATAGAAGAAACCCCTCGGTTAATTAAGATAAATAATATAAATATTTAATAATGATAATAGTTAGACTCTCATGTGTCTGGTGTCCCGTCCCCTGTGCGATATACTGTGGTGTCTGGAGACATTTTAACTTCATTATCTTTTCAAAAATCTAACTTAAAAAATAACAACAACAATCTCTAATTTTTAAAAATGTATTTAACACGTTTTATAATAAAAAATGACATCAAGTGTTTGGTTTCTGTTTCCAAATTAAGAGAAATTTGATGTTTTTTGCCCCATATACATTAATAAAGTGACAATGTGTATTTCTTAGTACTTTTAAAAAATATTTGTTGACATTTCCAAAGAAGAAACCCCCTCGTAAATAACATATATATTTAATAACGATAGTCGGACCCTCATGTGTCTGGCGTCCCGTCCCCTGTGTGTTTTACTGTGGTGTCTGCACTTCTGCACAGATTAACCTCTCTTTTGTTTCGGGGGTGGGGGGGGCACAAAGCGGAAGCCCCTCCCCTGATGCTGACCCGGGGGTTTCAGCGTGGCCTCCTGCCAGGGGAGGCTTTAAAAGGGTGGGGCTCCGATGAACATCTCACATTCACATCAGGACGTCCCAGCAGCACCAAACCAACGGTGAGTCCCAGCTGACGGACCCCCACATGCCCCAAAACAGGGGCCGATCCACGGGGGCCAGAGGCGGTGAAACAGGGTGGAGGACAGGAGGAAAAGTGGAGAGACAGAGACAGACAGATAGAAAAAGAGGCTTCTGGCTTCTCTGACACTCTGAACTTGTCTAGAAATTACATTTGGACGATTTTCAAGCTGACTTTGTGGAGCTTTTCTAAAAACACACTCTTGTTGTTTCATACTGTAGGACATTTAAAATGTTTTATAACAGGCGTGTTTTTCCATAGATTAACACTAAAGTTGTGTGGACAGATTTGGGACTTCTACACAGTGTAGAAAAAGGGAGTTAATGTGCTGTAAAGAAAGATAAACAATAGCCATGGTGTCAGAGAGAAGTCATTCAGGCCTCTGAGGATTCAAAGCTGAATTCGTGGTGCTTTTATAAATAGAAAACACACTTGTTTCATTTAAAGCGCCGTATAGCAGGCTTCTTAGCACAGATCGACACTGTGGTTGTGTAGACAGATGTTAGATTGCATGTCTTTGTTCAGCATGTAGTCCAGGGTTTTAATGTGCACTAAAGTTGCTGAATGTTTCTGGGCCTAATCCCACTTTCTTGCATGGTTTAACTCCCTAATCTGCGGATGTCTTTGTCAGCTGAATGATGTTTGACTTTAGCTCGCTCACGCACACAATCCAGCTGTCCATTGTCGTTTCTATTCTCAAGGTCTTTGTGTTTTTCTTTTTCTTTCAGACAAGATGACTCACCACTGCACCAAGTTCTCCGGCCACTGGAAGGTGAGTCTGCCGATGCAAACACACATTCCTCTCCTCTTTGGACTTTCAAATGAAAAGCTTAAACAGAGATGATCAGTCAGAAGAACTGCACTCGTCCTTTGTCACAGCAGAAAGGAGACAAAGACAGCTTCATGTTAACTAAGAAGCATGCTTAAAAACAACATGCTGTATATTAGGACACTCTGACACTTCGTTATCATATTCTCATGGTCAAATAAAACCCTTTCTCACAATTTGGTCCCAGCTAACTCAATGCAATGACTTTAAACTCACTTTTTGGTGCATTGAATAGTATTTTCCAGTGGTTCTAAAAGCTGTTTTCTCGCCTGCAGATCATTGTGTTCGACGAGGAATGCTTCCAGGGCCGCCGCCACGAGTTCACCTCCGAGTGCTGCAACGTGATGGAGTTCGGCTTCGAGACCGTGCGCTCCATGAGGGTGGAGAGCGGAGCGTGAGTACAAACATCAACTCAAAATGAAACCACCTTTGATCTGTTGTGTTCGACACCAAGGTTCAAAGAGCAGAGAGCTGCAACGGTTAGTCGACTAATCGATAAGTGGATGGACAGTTAAATACTCAACAAATATTTATTAAAAAATCATAATTTAAGTCTTTCTTTAAAGCAAAATTGTCAGAAGATGCTCTGAAAAATTGAGATTCGCAGCTTTTCCCTGTTTTATATCATATTATCATGAACATATTTAGGTTTTAAAAAACAACACATTTCACTTTCAGAGACTCAGATACACATTTTCACTATTTTCTGATATTTCATAGAACACTTTACACATAGGAAAGGGATCAGTTTTACAGTATACATAGAGAATAAGCTTAGAATACTCTACAAAGAAAGGACCAATTCTCTCCCACTAAAAACCCATTTCACAAACATAGGACACTGTATTCATAATGAATGTTCCTCCGCAGCTGGGTGGGCTACGAGCACGCCTCCTACCAGGGGCAGCAGTTCGTCCTGGAGAGAGGAGAGTACCCTCAGTGCGACGCCTTCGGAGGCAGCAACGCCTACCACATCGAGAGGATGACCTCCTTCAGACCCATCGCCTGCGCTGTGAGTAATATGCACTTCACTGCAGAGGAAGCACTACAATCGGATTTATTACTACTTTTTCCATTCAGAGATTCAGTTCCAGTGATACTTTAACATATGGTAGCAGAAGTGGAAGAAGTAAAAGAACAAATGATGAAATACTATCTTTAAACACAAATAAAAAGTCTGTCAAATAACAAGCTGTGTATCTTGTAATCGAAAGTTATCTAAAAAGGCTCAGTTTCAGCTCTCAAGCATGCAGGCTTTATGCTTTTCCCTCTTTCATATCATCACAAACTGAGTATCTTTGAGTTGTGCACACTAAACCCAGTGCAGTAGAAATACAAAAGAACATTTGAACATGAAGACATCTCACTGAACTAAAGCAGAAGGAACTAAATGCACTTTACTGCAGTGCAGCTCTGCAGGAATGTGCGCAGTGTGTGTGTGTGTGTGTGTGTGTGTGTGTGTGTGTGTGTGTGTGTGTGTGTGTGTGTGTGTGTGTGTGTGTGTGTGTGTGTGTGTGTGTGTGTTTGTGTGTTTGACCGGAAACTGACAGAGATGCATTGTGTCCCCCCCCC